AACAGCACTCTATGTGATCAGGCAGAGGACTCAGTATTAGGAAACAGTACTCTATGTGATCAGGCAGAGGACTCAGTATTAGGAAACAGCACTCTGTGCCATCAGGGGTTTGTAAGTATAGCATATGGAGTTACCTGGAATGAAGCTACTTCAGGAAGGTGAACTGGATTATAGGAGGCAAGATGGTTTAGTGCTAAGGTAAAATTCAGAATGGGATTTAGGTCGACAGACTAGATGTTTGAGAAGCTAGCTCCGCAGGTCTTTTTAATCTTGCTGAGAAATTACAGCTTCCAGTTCATTTCTTCCAGTGGCTGGCACTGTCCCCTGGGCCCCAAGAGGATTATCCTAATTGGTTTCTGCCCCAGAGGCAGGCCCTTTGATTCTATTGAAGCAGTAATGGATTCCTTAATTGAAACCCCAAAGTATCAGATTTTGCCTATTCACAGCCCCCCCGAATGCCCTATTTCTGTATTTTCAACTCATTCTTCTGAAGAGATAGGAACAGGAAAAGATGGATCCTGCTGGTTTCCCGGTCAGGGGGCTAACGGAACCCGTCATGGGTGTGAATGTTTCCATCTCATGTCTGGGAAGACGTTAGTGGAAGATCAGAGCTTCAGAAAGATGCTTCAGGTGTACCCCATGAACTTGTGCATCTGGCATGTGACAAGGTCCTGAGTTGGATACAGCTCTTCCCAGAGACGAGGAAGTGGGATTACTTGAAATTCTTTGAAATCTAGAATTAAAACAGAAAATGTGCCTTGGTCTTGGGTGGAAAAAAACAGACTCATATTGAGCTCCTCCCACTGTCCCCTCACAACACAGGTCACGTCTGTGACCTCTTAGGGTGTAAGAGTAAGCCATCGATTCTGCAGTGGACGCCAGCCGGTGTCCCCTGATTGACTTCAGTTCTGACAAGTTGAAGACTCTGTCTCCAAGATCTCTCCCATTTCTGAACCGGTGGCAAGCCCAGGCCTTCCAACTGGCTAAAATTGGGGTTCTCACCACCCCCTCCTTGAGTTTGAGGAATTTTCTAGAATGTCTCCCAGAATTCAGGGAAACTCTGTGGACTGACCAGCTTATTTTAAAGGATGCAAATAAACAACTGGACAGACTAGATGGACACACAGGTGAGGCCCTTCTGGAAGGGCCCCCAGTGCAGGAGCTCCCACCTATCGCTGTGCAGCTGGGGTGTGGCCAGGTGGGCGAGTCTGTTCTTGGTCTCCTTCTGTGAGCCTCCATGAGCTCCGCTGGGCAGAAGCCCTGTGAGTCCTGTCCTTTTGGATTCTTACCGTGACTTCAGCTGTGGACATTGGTAACCCTGTAGAAATGGGCCTGGGCAGAGGGCAGAATCCAGTGCTGATAGGGCAGCTAGGAAACCCAGCAAGGTGCAGGCTCCTCTTGGCCTCTGTGCAGCCCACCTTCCTCCTGGACATGGGGCAGGGCCTTGGTGGCCATCTCCAGGACAGGAAAGTGTGGGGGAGATTAGAGTACATGGCCTGCCCTAGGAAGACAGAGTCTAGTGCCTGTGGCCCACGCTGAGGAGGGAGCTCTGCACCCGAAACCTTGGATGAAAACATAGGTGTTTTCATCCAAGGTTGGTAGGAGGCGTGTAGAGTGATCTTTTATTATCTGAACATTTGCGTGGAATTTCTGTGTGTGCTGGTGCATGAAAGGTACCCAGTAACAGTCAGCGAGGTCATGTGAGTTGTTCGTGACTGGAGTGGTCGGGCCAGATTAACCTTGGGTAAATCAGTTATTTTTCAGGTCACTTTTAGAAGCAGGAAGAAGCCTTTGGGTTTCCACCTGGGCACCCTATTACTGGGGGCCCCATAAGCCACAACACTCAGCTGGCAGTTATTACCAGAAAAACTGTGCATAATAATGTGCCATCATTCTTAAAACGTACACAGATAATATTATGTTTTAAAGTGGAAAAAAATTAGAATTCAGCAGTGTTTTAAAATATCTTTGCATTTTGTTAATCTAAAAATCAAAACTGCTGACATGGAGGTTGATGTTTTTGATGTTACAAGTGGTGTGGTTTCCTTTGTGTGGAGTTAACAGAGGCTCTTTTAGTTCGAAGCTTTGGTCTTATCTCACTTGCAGTGCAAGTACTTACTTGCATATAGAAATAGATGGTTTCTTTAAAAATAATTTCTATGTTCTACTTTGATCCTAGTGGTGTAGAGCCTCCCTCTCTGGGGACATCTAGTGGCCATAGTGTGAAATGCAGCCTGGTTGGCTGGAAGCCCTCTGTCACTACGACAGCTGTCAGAGAGGGATCCCCTTCCTCTAGCCACCCACACTCCTGGGAGATGGGTACTGGGATCTTAGATCCCATCCACAGGTTCTGATTGCACGCCGAGTTGCTTTCATTAAGGTGCAGTTGGTCTCCTGTGTCGCATGATTGGAACTTTAGAATTGGGATTTTAAAGCCAAGATGAAAACAAGGGCATTCATGATTTTCCTTGGTTGAAGGCTGTGCTCAAGTTTCAGAAGGCTACAGGAAGCAGCCGGCCTGTCCTCCCTGGACTGGACATGTCTTATTTTTCTGGACTCTGAGTCCCTCCAGGGCTGATGCTGTGGATTAGCTTCTTCAAGGCCAAGGTGCATCTGCACTGGGTGACGCCACATTGACTTTTAAAATCTTTTCATTTTAGGCTTGCGTAGGATTATTGCAGTTCTCTAAACTAATGTTGAATTCATTGAATTGTAACAATTCTAAGACATAGGTTTTTCCTGAATCTTCCAAGTTTATTGTCTAAATATACTGCTCGTAAAGTTAGTAATTACATCAGCTTCTATTATTTGATTCGAGGTTTATTAACTCAAGTTTAACTGATTTACATCTACTAAACATTTTACTGTGAATTCGTTCCATTCACAACTTAGTGAACCCCCAACCATTTCAAACGTTTTAAAGTGCATTTACAATTGTGATCTGCTGGGGTTTTCCTGACTACCCATCCCCTGGGGCTGGCTGGCAGAGCTAATAGGTTTCTTTATGCACTTAGGCAGTTCTTTGAAATCTAATAAAGCAAACTTGGAAATGTGGCCAATCAGTTTTTCATCATTGTCCTGCTGGGGACAGAACCCAGGGACTGGGGTGTGCTGGGCAAGCAGTGCTCTTCCCAACGAGCTACATCCCCAGTCTGTCCGTCAGTTTTTAAAGCGAACATTCGAATGCTGTGTACAGGTTTACTCAGACTCTTATTCCTTTCAAATTAAAACTGCAAGTCTCATATCAGTTACACATTTTAAATGAAAACCACAGAGGTCTCGAACTTGCCCACTTGTTTTAATTACCTAATAACCCGCGTACACATTCCTCTGAAGGTCATAGGCTTCACGTTTGTGGTTTACTCCTCCTGTAAGTTTTGATGGGCTTTAGCTCTGATATTTTTCCCTCTACCATTCCTAGTAGAAAACACACTCAAGTCAAGCGGGGTTCCAGCGTTGAAGGTCTGTGACGCTGATTCTGTTGGTAACAAGCAGCAGCTGAGCCCGGCACTTAAGACTGGCAGGAAGAACTTACCTGCCCCAGGTGCATCAGCTCTTTCTTGGAATCAAACTCACTTTGCTCTGTTAGTAGGGGACCCAACTCCTACCTTTCACCTGGGGTTTATCTTTACAACCCCACGCATCTTATGCATTCCATGTACATTTCAAATTTCACTTGGC